CGAGAGACTGTCCGGAAAAAGAAAAAAAGTACTGCTCAGATTGTGCAGGCGACGACCATACCTACACTGAATGTAAGAATACACATGTTGGCTGTCTCAACTGTAAGAGAAACGGGAATGCATACATAGGACATAGGACGTTAGCAATGGCATGCCCAATAAAAAAACACATGATAAAGTACAAGGAACAAGAAACAAGGAAAAAGGAACAAGACAAGAAGGATACGACATACGTCGAAATAGCAAGAGAGCGGTCCAAGAGGCTCATAGACCAGAATCCACCATATTAAACCTAAGTGAGCCAATACATGATAAGGTAATGATTAGTATGATCCATGCACATTTGCACAATATCATTGCACCCGGATCATACAATGAGGAATTAAGGAAAATGTTTAAATTGAATAACCTACCAGAGATGATATTTCCAGAGAATCCACAATCCGAAAAACTATTTCAGACAACATATGCAAGCGAACTGAGAGAAAGACTACATCAAGACGAACAAAGGTTTGAGCAAGGAGCAACAGCTGATACACAAGGAACACAAGCGACTGATAGAGATCCCAGACAAATGACTAGAAGTGACAAAGAGAAGATAGAAATAACAAAAGGACAGACTATAAGACAAAGGAGTAGGAGGAGAGAAGATAAGATGGAAACTGATCACAATATACAACCTGAATCTGCTGAAGATATTGGATTAAAAGTTATCACTACAACAAAACATGGAATCCCAACATCGAGACCAACAGGAGGGACAATAGTAAAAAACTGTGAAGGAGGGATATACAAGTGGATATATCAAGAAAAATCCCTAAGTGAAGATTATGTCTGGTCACTAATTACTACGGACAAACTAAAGATTACGGCCAAAGACTTTAAAATAGTAGACCCGTCAGAGTATAGAAGAGTCAGAAGCGGGAAACAGGATGATAGGTCTCCACTCCAACTGCCACAATCCAAGTATAAGAAATAATGGACAATAGACAAACAGTAAGAACTTTAAGAATAATACAACACAACGTAAGAAACTGGAAGACCGAGAGAATTAACCTAAGTAATATATATCGCGAAATTGACCCTGACATTATACTAATAAATAGTCACGGTGAGACAGAAAACAACAACATAAAACTCTTTAACTATTATGTAAACCAAAGAAATAAATCGGGCGAGAAAAATGACGGAGTAGCGATAGCGGTTAAAAGAAACTTAAAATTTAAACTAATTGATGACTTCCAGGATGAATTTCTAGCAATAAAAATAAATACAACTCAAGGAGACGTAATTATTGCTACTACTTATCTCCCACCGAGACGACCCTACTTACCTATAGAAGACCTATTAAAATTGGCTAACAATAGTCATCCGATGTACATCTTAGGAGACTTTAACGCCAGACATAGGTTTTTTGACAATACAAATAATAACGTCGTGGGAAACGCCCTTAATCAATTAATAAATTTAGGGAAAATCAATCATCTGGGTCCTAACTTTCCAACCTGGAGAAATCACAATACACAATCGACACCAGACAAAATTTTTACCAACAACAAAGCCTTTTTCAATTACCATATAATACAGGGACCTCTTACAGGCAGTGACCATCTGCCAATTATACTAACACTGTCAACAAGCCCCATACAGATACCAATAAAAAAGAGACTGAAAATGAGTAAAACAGACTGGGACAGCTTCAAAGACGACTTAAGTAATCACCACTCGATTAACCTACAAGGGAAAACAACAGAAGATATAGACTCAGAAATGGACAGACTGCACTCAGCAATAAAAACATCTATAACCAAACACACTCCTACTTCACACTTTAGAACATTACCCAACAACAGACTACCAGAAGAAGTTAAATTAATCCAGACCTATTACAATGAAATAAACAGGTATATGGAAAGACACGGCAGTAACAGATGGCTATATACGACACAGATAGCACTACAGATAAAATTAAGAGACGCATGTAAGGAAGCAAACAATAAAAAATGGAATGATATTATAATGGCGGCTGACATGACTAAAGACACAAAAACATTTTGGACTTCCATAAACAAGATGATGGGGCACAACAAGCAAAAAACACCATACATTAAAGACCAAAATGGAACAAAATTGCACGAGGAAAATGAACAAGAGTCAGCATTCAAAAGGGAATGGGTAAAAGTTTTTAAAATATCAGATGAGAAAGACGAAAGCTAAGGTGCTCCGTTGTTTCCCTTTTCCAGTGTGATTTTATCAATATATATATATATATATATATATATATATATATATATATATATATATATATATATATATATATATATATATATATATATATATTTCATTAGCCCAATAAAGCACGCGAACTTCTACATACAATCACACGGGAAAATGGAAACAACGGAGTACCTTAGCTTTCGTCTTTATTCAAGACATCTTCAGAGGCAACTGGATTACATGGACAGAGAGAGGCTTAAATATACAGGGTGACCTAAAAACAGTGCAAAAGAGGGCATGCAAGATTATTCTCTCCCCTTCCTACACCACATATCAAGAAGCGCTCAACACACTGACCCTTTCGACTCTCACTGACCATCACCACGGCCTCATCTGCAAATTTGGTAAGAAGCTTCTACACCATCCCCGACACCGGCCCCTACTACCACCTGAGATCCCCTGTCCGAGAATTGCTGTTCGACACCACAACCGCATCCAGCCCATACGTGCACGAACTGATCGCTATAAGAACAGCCCAGTCCCAACCATTGTAAAAATTATCAATAACATGTAATAAATCAGTGTATTCACTCCCAGTAAACACTGCTCCCTACACTGTCACTATGTTGAAATGAACTGTAGTTTGAGCTGATCCCCATCTAAGTTACTATATGTCTTATTTGTGTCACTTATGTCACTTGTATATTATTTGTAATTCGTAACCCATTCCCCAAATATGTAACTGTATATTTTCAGCCTTCTGGCTGCCAAGCTCTTTCAATAAACCGTTAATTATTATTATTATTATTATTATTAATGATGACATCCACTAATCCCCACACCAACACACACGTAGAGGAGCTTAAGAGAAGGGTGGTGATGATATTACTCAAATAGTATCATACCCAGGAAAATCAACTCAATTTATGGCACTCTACACGGTAAGAGCGATAAAAAACATAAATGATTTTGAGAAAAAATGGAAAATCAGGACAAATAAGAACAAATTCAAGATAATACCAATAGCCAAGATTAAAACAAGTCCAGTAATAGTCGACCAGGAACTATACCCATACGACACTGAAGGTAGGATGCTTGGATTAAAACTAACAAAAAGAGGATATATAACATACTTAAAAGATAAAGAACGACAGGCAAGAATAAGATTATCAAAAATAAAACGCTTTAAGAACTTTAGCATTAATAACAAAAGAAAGATTTATATTGCCCTTGTCAAATCAATTATGGACTACCCACCCATCCCATTGAACACCCTTAGTAAAACGTGCATTAAAAAGGTTACAAACAGTACAAAATATAGCCCTCAGATTTATATATAACATAAAATATACAGACCACATCAATAATGAACAGCTACACAAGAGAGCAAACCTCTTAGCAATCAATGTAGATATACACAACAAAGCTGTAAATATTTGGAAAAAAGTGACTGAACTTAACACAGAAACATATCAAAACTGGATAAATAATATAGACAACGAAGAATTCCAAGAACACAGTTGGTTTAAATCAGCCAGGAAGAAAGTAATTGAACCATCTCCTGCCCCAATATACATATAAAACATTAATAGAGAGAATAAAAGATGAGAGTGACCTACCAGCTCCACAAGAACCTGGCAGGCCTCTCCATACAGTGTACCTTTAGACTAACATAACTAATATTTAACATTTAACATTTAACATTGAACTAACATCTTAGTAAAAAAAAAAAAATGTGACTACCCTCCCAGCTACACAAGGACCTGGGCGGGCTCACTAACTCCGAAAAAAATAAAATAAATAATAATAAAATAATAATAATAATAATAATAATAATAATAATAATAATGTGATTACCCTCCCAGCTATATCAGCCAGGAAGAAGTAATTGAACCACCTCCTGCCTCAATATACACATTTCTACATAAAACATTACTAGAGGAATAAAGATGAGAGTGACCAACCAGCTCCACTAAGAACCTGGCAGGCCTCTCCATACAGTGTACCTTTAGACTAACACAACTAACACTTAACTAACACCAAAAAAAAAAATGTGACTACCCTCCCAGTTACACAAGGACCTGGGCGGGCTCACTAACTCCAACAATAACAAAAATAATAATAATAAGCAGCATTATATAAATAAACCAATATTAATACAAAGGTCTGACGACCCAAGGGAGCAGAACAAAGACAAAACACCAATAAGAAAGATGAAGCGATCTGGTTGAGCCCAGATTCTTTCTACTCCTACTGTATTTCAGTTTCACCACTTTTTCTTCAATTCCTAATAATCTTCTTTCACCTCTTAACTAATGACTTCGTATCGTATCGTATCGTATGTAATCCAGTTGCCTCGAAGATGTCTTGAATAAAGACGAAAGCTAAGGTACTCCGTTGTTTCCATTTTCCCGTGTGATTTTATCAAGATATATATATATATATATATATATATATATATATATATATATATATATATATATATATATATATATATATATATATATATATATATATATATATATATATACAAATAAATCACTGTGGTGGCGTGGTTATCAGCATATATATATATATATATATATATATATATATATATCCCGGTATATGCCCACAATCCTGACCTTTTCTTATCACTAAATTTTGGTAGTTATTACGAAATATCTACCAATCAGATTCAGTTTACCTTGGCGTCAATGTTCAGCTGTTGCTTCTGCGTGCATATGTATCCCGCGTATATATACTGCACACCAGTCGCGCTGCTGTAGACACGTGCTGGGGAACACTGAGGCGAGCCCTGCAGTCTCAACTTATTCTAACCTACATAAGGTATTTCTTCTGTGTTTCCTTCAGTTTAAGCTTAATATTATATTCGAGACTAATCCCTCATATAGAATATAGACATTTTGATTGTTGAGATATCAAATTCTTGAGTTTTTTTTCATAACCAATATTAAAGTCGATTTATATATATATATATATATATATATATATTTTTTTTTTTTTTTTTTTTTTATAAAACCACACAGGAAAAAGGGAAACAATGGAGCACCTTAGCTTTCGTCTTTATTCAAAAAATCTTCAGAGGCAACTGAATTACAAGGACTGAGAGAGAGACATGTACACAGGGTGACCTTACAAAACATGACTGAATTTTTTTGTAAGGTCACCCTTTGGTGGATGCTAAGTCCCATTGTCCTTAAATCATATCAATATTGTCTCCATATCACAAGTCGTGCGAGACACGAGTACCAATATATTAGTGTCTGGCCGCATGGGCCTGGGACTAGGCTTGTCGCCTCCTTGGGTGTAATAAACTTATTAAATAATAATATTAAGCCCAGCATGACTGAACAGACGCTCACAAGCAGCAAATGCAGGTAGGAGGGTGTTAACCTTGAGAGATAAATCACATACTGTCGGGAAAGACCTTAGTAGCGCCTTTCCCGTACTCAGATAAAATGGCACAACAAATTTCACTTCGAGCTCACAAACCACAAACAAACTAACGAGCCTGTGTTTGAAGCTATCCAGCGTAGTCGAGTTAATAATGATGTTTGGTAACTTGCTATATCACCTTTGTTTAGCCCTGACTTCCATTTATACTCCTCGATCATATCTCGTGTTTTAGTTTGATACATTTGAAAGAAACCCTTGCGATTTGACTTCACCTTCCTTGCTACCTTCAGTTCATTATTCCTCTTTGCCTTTCTTATCTCGGTCTTAACCCTACCGGCCAATACCTTATAATAATCTCGGAGGTAAACTTCACCACGATTTATTCTCCTACCTATAGTCTTCCTTTGTCCAATAATATTCTTTAAATAAATGTTTATCCATTTAGGGTCATTGTTGTTTGATGTGAGTTTTCTATATGGTATTGTCTGCCTTTGTGCATTAAGTAACTCATTATTTAATTTGTTGTAGCACTCGTCAACCTCAAATGTCGTGATCAGGTCATCCGCAACTGTCATATTTTGTGAGGTTATCGTTGTCAGGTCTCCAGGTAAAGTGAGGTCGTCCTCTGTGGGTACATTGTGTTAGGTCACCTCTTGTGAGGCCATGTTTTATGTTATGTCGTTGATATAACTCTAAGTAAGTTTCAGTAACAAACGTTATCAAATTTTAGCGAAAACATGCCAATAAAAATTAATGTGCCATTTTTCCTAGTCTCGTGATAATGCCTTTTTTTTCGGTGCCATATTTTCCTACATTCCGCCATTCCATCCCCTTTACCTCCAGTTGAAGATGATTATTGCCTCCAGAGTGACTGATTCCTCACCGTGAACTGTGCCTCTTATTGGGGTGTGGCTGTGGTGATGTCACTTTCGAACCTAATTGATGAATGACCGCATTTTTTTACACCACGTAACATCTGTCGGGTACTGGGGGAGTGGGCAATGGTACTTAGTTATTGAAGCAGAATTTTAAATACTTAGTCTCACACTTATATATAGATGCAGGCTTTATATCCAAGACGGAATTATGTAACGCATTTTAGAATCACCATCTCTTTGAAATTCATTTTAGGTACAGGTATATGCAAGAGCAACTGACGCCCAATGGGAAGACCAATCCCCTTAAGGAAGGGTGGGGGGGAACATAAGAACATAAGAAAATAAGGAGTCTGCAATAGGCCGGTTGGCCTGTGCATGGCAGCTCCTGTCGAGAGTTATTACCACTCTCTATCATCCATGAATCTATCTAGCCTCCTTTTGAAACTTTCCAGAGTTCCCGCACTTACTACAAAGTTGCTAAGCTTGTTCCACTCGTCCACCACCCTATTTGTGAACCAGTTCCTTCCTATCTCCCTCCTAAACCTTTTAAGAACTTTATCTATATCCCCTTTATTGATTCCTTTCACCCACTTAAATACTTCTATCATATCTCCCCGCACTCTTCGTCTTTCTAGGGAATGCAAGTTAAGTTTCTTTAACCTATCCTGATATGGAAGGTTTCTAAGTCCCGGAATCATTTTTGTCATTCTTCGCTGCACCGACTCTAGTGAATTTATATCCATTCTATAATAGGGGCACCAGAACTGAACCGCATAATCGAGGTGCGGCCTGACTAGCGCAAGATATATGGGGAAGGGGGGAATAAGAGGGTAGGCTAGGTGAGGTGGGTGGTCAAGGTGCTAATGAACACAAGAAGATCAAAGGGAAAGTCCGCTGTCATGGCCACTACCATCTAACCTGAACTGACGTTCCCCTCACGACACCTCTACTGTAGGTATGTGACTGCGTGGTGACTCACCCACACCCATACCGTCCACTTCACTGCTCCAGCCACACCATACCCCCACCCACATAACTCTTTTACTATGGTTAATAATTAATTGATTAGTTAAAAATATATACTATTAATTTGCATGTAACGAGTAACAATTTTTTTTCAACTGACTTGTGTAAAGGTAGTGTATTACAAATCAATAATTTGGTAAAAGTAAAAGTGCTAAGGATTTTGAGTATTTTTATAAAAAAGTAAATATCCAAAATTTTTATTTTAGTGCGGTACTCAAGGAAATATATTTACTTACTTTACAACTCGGGGCTGGTGTTTAGAAAAGAAAACAACCTTGAGAACCGTACGTTTGTCTGTGGTCCTAGTTAAAATATTTAGTGATATGTATGTATATGTATATATATATATATATATATATATATATATATATATATATATATATATATATATATATATATATATAATAAATCACTGTAGGTGCGCGTGATCCAAGTATATGCTGTTAACCACAAGGAAAAAGAAAACACGAAGTTCCCAAGCGCTTTCCTGTAATTCACATCTTCAGGGGTGTTTTCTTTTTCCTTGTGGTTATCAGCATATACCTGGATCACGCGCACCTACAGTGATTTATTTGCATACAAATATATATATATATATATATATATATAACAGTCTAAAGCACCTTACTTATTCAGCTAAAGCAAGTCACTTCCAAGAAGCAGATCTAAACGAACCATATTAGGTTAAGTGTCGTTTGAGAAACTTTGTAAATCCCAGTAAAAGAGCATAAAAGTAGATAACTAAAAGTAATCTAAGGTGAGATTGTAACTGAAATAGTTTTGATGAATTATAAAAAAAAAATCTCTTTTATTAAGGAAACGTGAAAATCGGTCTGCAGGGTAATGGGTGAAGAAACATTTCCAGAGCTCGTATAGTGTATTGTGTTGGGATCAAGGGCAAGGACTAAGTCTTATCATCTTATTGGTGGCATGTGAACTAAGCTGTTGCGTCACCAGGAATGTAATTACTGCAATCAATCAATTAATTTATCTTATCATGTTAAATTGCGTCATGGTGGGCTGGTGGTTCGTATTTTGAATGGCTACAGGAGCGTGACAGAAAAATACAACGGTAAGAAATGCACACTCCACAGAAAGACAAATGAGGATGATCTAAGGACAATAATTATTAAAACCATGTTGAAGTTCTTTATCTAATGTTGATTAAAATTACTAAAATGAACCAGGAGACCTAGTTACTGTAAGAAGCATTTAGTGCATATTAGAAGGAACCCTATGTAAAGCTGTTACTACTATGGTAATGAAATATTTAAAATAATGTAGCGCGCTGAGACAGAGGGGAGGCGAGAGGTGACTTCTCGCCCCTCTTAGCTGTGCAAGGGAGCAAATAACTAAAGATGATTGGCTTGGTGTGTCTTCGGGTAGATGTGCTGTATAAAAAATCAGAGAAGATTTTTATACTTATACGTGTACCTTTAATATAGATTGGATATTTCAAATAAACAGGAAATATATAATTAAATAAGGTAGAGCGATAGATTATGGGAATGTTAATTTGGCGGTAAAAGTTACTGAATTTTAAACACTTTTTAGACACGTGCAAGAAGGGAAAAAATCTTAATAAAATATGATAGACAAAGTTGAACTAAAGTGAACCTACAGTATATTTTCAGTTATTGTCTCTGCTTAAATGTGTACAGTTGCTGAGATACAAATCGGTTTTAATTATAAAGTTATCAATTTGGCAGGAAGCATAGTGTTTAATAAGTTTACAGGTACCTCATATTATTATCTTCTTCCTCAGCCTTTACATCATGATAATTATAAAAGAACTGTCTTCGTGTACATTGGTCAATTTATATTACAAAACTAGATGTTGAGAACAAACTAAAACCCTATAGTTGTTCATGATAAAATATGATACTCTTGCTTGACAGAACCATACCGATGGAGAGACGAATTAAAAAGCCTAAGTTTGAGATCGCTGACCGCGCCAGGATCGTTCGGATGTGGCTGGCAGGCCTACCTGCAAGGGACATATCTCATAAGACCGGGGCCAGCCTCTCCACGGTGTACAGGTGGATCAGGAGATGGGAGGAGGAAGGCACAGTGGAAACCAAACCATACAGTGGAAAGTCCGTCGGGGCCCCGTGGCAGGAAAACGAAGCTTTTCTGCCAGCAACACATCCACAGCCGCTAGTCACGACCCTCAGTGTCCCTAATGCTCTCCAGCTGAACTACGGTTACAAAACAACAGATAACCATTACACTGAGGGTGCATTTCCAACAACACTTCCCTTCCCGTACGACCACCTCGTCCAATATGACTGTGGGATAAGGCTGAAACATAGCTTTAATCCTTAAGGATTTACTTTGTGTGGTCAATGGGGAATATAAGTGTCTTCTGCCACTTGTAACTCCTTGTGTTTAAAAGAGTAATATATTTAAACTGCTTCAGAGAAGTAGGAAATATTTTTTCACGGGCCAAAAAAATGAAATTAAAAAAAAAGTGATAGGTTTCAGGGTTTCTGAAGAACCATTTGAATAATGAAAGAAAACAACCAATATGATTTAATGGCTCGTATAAAAACATAAATCGTAAAACGTTGATAGTCTTCGTCTCTGCAATATATTTGAGCCAAGATAATTCGAAGGTAAAAGTAAATAAAAATATATATGCTTAAAGGAATGTTATGACTTACAGGCAAGTGCAACATGTGGCGTAAGTTTGTATCACATTAAAGAACAATGGCAAGGCAGAGCTGAATTTGAATTATAAAGACACTCAGTGTCTCGGAATAAAGAACTTATCTATATTTAATAATTTATAATTATTGACAAATTTTAGTTTTTATGTTTCTAATCACATTATAAATCTTAATAAATTATTACTGTTGTAATATATATAAAGACGAAAGCTAAGGTACTCAATTGTTTCCCATTTCCCTGATCAATGAATTCCGGGCTGCAAATTCTCAAAGCACGTAAAAACATTGATGAAAATACTGACTGTTTGACTCTATTATGGTGGGCAGAATAATAATGAATGTATGAACACACATTAGTAGGTTTTCTATAAATACTGAACTTAAAAGTGTTACCTATTCTGTGGATCAGACAGTCTAGGAATGGCAATTTACAGTCTTGCTCTAATTCCACAGTGAATTTGATCGAGGGGGCTAAGTTGTTAAGTTGTGGCAGGAAAGCTTTTAGGTCCTCCTTACATGGCCAGAGACATAATACATCATCAACATATCTAAACCAGACTGCTGAGGGTGGTAAAATATTACTTAATAGTTTCTTTTCAAAGAATTCCATATATAGGTTGCTTAATACAGGTGAGAATGGATTACCCATTGCCATACCAAATTCTTGAGCATAATATTCTCCATTGAATTCAAATTTACAATCCCTAATACATAGTTTGATGAGTTCGATGAAGTTGTCTTTCGAGACAGGCAATGAAATATCATCCAGGGAATCTATGAGGAACTCCAGTAAATCATCAACTGGGAACTTTGTAAAGAGTGATGTTACATCAAAACTGACCAGTTTAAAATCATAATTAATGTGTAAGTTATTGAGTTTATCAACCAGATCGATATTATTCTTAATATCAGAGTTAGAAATGTTGCCAACTAGGGGATTTAGTAAAGAAACTAACCATTTAGATAATTTATGAGAGATTGACCCAACTGAGCTGATGATGGGTCTTGCTGGGTTATTAGGCTTGTGGGTCTTGATTACACCGTACATGTATGGCAGTGGAGGGGACTGCTGCGGTGCTTTTTGAAGATTAGTTGGGTCATTACCTAATACCTGACCATTGTGGACTTGATCTCACCCTCCTCTGTATATATATATATATATATATATATATATATATATATATATATATATATATATATATATATATATATATATATATAAAATCACACGGGAAAATGGAAACAACGGAGCACCTTAGCTTTCGTCTATATTCAAGACATCTTCCGAGGCAACTGATTACATGGACAGAGAGAGGCTTAAATATACAGGGTGACCTAAAACATGAGGTCAGGTCATAATGATGACATCCACTAATCCCCACACCAACATACACGTAGAGGAGCTTAAGAGAAGGGTGATGACGTGACTAGACAGGTCAGGTCAGAAAGGACCCACAAAATAACTATCATACATCAAGATCAAAGGTTTTCAAAGCATTTTTAACCTTGGGCCACTGACAAATAAATTTATGTAACATATTATCAGTTTGAACTGACCATCACTAAGGTTTATTGATTTTAATTCTTAATCAAACTAGCTTCAACCAGAAGCCTTTCTGTGACACAAGATGATTTGAATACTTCTAAGCTTTTTTCCCAAGCAATGGGGTGATTATTATTCCTAACATGAACGAACAAGGCACTGCTTTCAGATGCAGTTCTGATATTACAGGCCAAATATCTAATTCACATATACGCAATAGTAGTGATTTAATTGATAAACTCAAGAAACACAACGAACCTTGCGAATTAATAAGTTTTGATGTAAATTCACTGTTCACTAGAGTACCTGTGAAAGACTTACTTTCATTTCTTAAAGATAAATTACAACTGCTAGATTTAACTATTGAACATGATACTTTCCTGAAATTGATAGAGTTATGTGTAACTGACAATGTGTTTAGAGCAAATGGGAAGTTCTACAAACAAATATTTGGCATGAGCATGGGTAATTGTCTTTCTGCTCCTCTAGCCTGTATTTATATGGAGTTTTTTGAGTCTAGATTACTACCCAATATAGTGGACTTTATTCCTCCTTGGTATAGATATGTAGATGATGTTCTTTGTCTTTGGCCTAAAAACAGTGACCCATTGGAATTTTTAGACAAGCTTAATAATATTGTCCCTAGTATCACATTCAAAATTGAAAGAGAAATAAATGAATCCCTTCCATTTCTTGATATGCTTATCATGAGAAATGGCCAAAACTATAAATTTAAGGTATATAGAAAGCCCACACAGGTAGACAGTTTCATTCACTTTTTATCGAATCACCTGGAGTCTACCAAAATGTCAGTTTTTTCTGCTATGTTCCTAAGATGTCTGCGTATTTGTGACTCTGAATTTATTGACGATGAATTTAAACACATTCGTTCTATTGCACAGAAACTTGGGTACCCTTCTGTGTTTGTTGATCGTTGCTTTAAAAGGGCTAAAAAATCCTTTCATTCCTCTCAAACCAGACAAGTTCCTACACTTAAGAATATTTTGACTCTGCCCTATCGTGATGAATTTGTCCCGTTAGTTCGGTCCCTCAAGCTTCTAAATATTAATGTTGTTTTCAAGTATGACTCAACCATTACCAATATGTTAATAAGGAATAGCCCAAGTTTGAATGTAAATGGAAGTGTTTATTGTATTCCATGTAGCAAATGTAATTGTAATTATGTAGGTCAGACAGGAAAAACACTGCAGCTCAGAATCAAACAACATAAGTATAATATCAGAACTGCATCTGAAAGCAGTGCCTTGTTCGTTCATGTTAGGAATAATAATCACCCCATTGCTTGGGAAAAAAGCTTAGAAGTATTCAAATCATCTTGTGTCACAGAAAGACTTCTGGTTGAAGCTAGTTTGATTAAGGAATTAAAATCAATAAACCTTAGTGATGGTCAGTTCAAAACTGATAATATGTTACATAAATTTATTTGTCAGTGGCCCAAGGTTAAAAATGCTTTGAAAACCTTTGATCTTGATGTATGATAGTTATTTTGTGGGTCCCTTTTTTCTGACCTGACCTGTCTAGTCACGTCATCACCCTTCTCTTAAGCTCCTCTACGTGTGTGTTGGTGTGGGGATTAGTGGATGTCATCATTATGACCTGACCTCATGTTTTTAGGTCACCCTGTATATTTAAGCCTCTCTCTGTCCATGTAATCCAGTTGCCTCTGAAGATGTCTTGAATAAAGACGAAAGCTAAGGTACTCCGTTGTTTCCATTTTCCCGTGTGATTTTATCAAGATTTATCTTATCCACGTTTTCATTGTGGATTTACATGAAATATATATATATATATATATATATATATATATATATATATATATATATATATATATATATATATATATATATATATATATATATATATATACCTTATTTTGTACTTCTCCTTAGTCTGTACTCACCCCTGAAGATGTGAATTACACTTTTGGGGAACTTCGTGTGTTTTCTTTCTTTTCTTGTATATATATATATATATATATATATATATATATATATATATATATATATATATATATATATATATATATATATATATATATACATACAGAGAGAGAGAGAGAGAATTACATAAAGAGGTGAGCATAATAAAACTAAATGCAGTCCGCACTTCCAGGTCAGCATGGAAACTCTTCATTTATATATAACAACATTGGCAACAGTGCTGGTATGCGCTATTGGTACAGACGGTGAAGACACTAAGCAGCAGGTGGACGAAGATGTGGGCATGATGTTGAGTCAAGTTGTGGACCACAATATCATCGGCTGTCATTTGATAATCCTTACTACTGCAGAGCATTCACACCTGTTCTCAAGTATACTAAGGTGTGGTACCAGATTATAACGTGTACCTTTCTACCGTCCATATATATATATATATATATATATATATATATATATATATATATATATATATATATATATATATATATATATATATATATATAATCAACGACCTCACCAGCAAGGAATCGAACCCTCGACCTACTGGGTGTGACTAGTGTCCTTGTGGCCTAGCCGATAAGCGTTCCCTAGTCACACCCAGTAGGTCGAGGGTTCGATTCCTTGCTGGTGAGGTCGTTGATTATATGTTCAAAGTCCGCGTGTTATATGGACTAAAAATGAAGTGTATATATATATATATATATATATATGGAAACCTCTATAATTATTTGATGATATAGCAATAATAGCTTTATAGATTGCGTCTATATTTCTTAAGTACGGTTAAGAACCACAGGGAATTTTGTTTTTGTCCATATTACAAGACACTTTCGCAAAATCACATCATCCAGTTACAAATTAATGCAAACCTGTTTCTCAGAGAGGTGATTCTTGGTATAGACTTTGACGTGGTAGTGGAGGCAAGGTGGGTGTTGTTTCTGGACCAGCTGGCCCAGCACCACCGTCTCCAGATATATAACTACGCAAATTTCTGCCCTGCAGACACATGAGTGCAGATGTGGTGGCTGGCGTGGTAGTGGAGGCAGGGTGGGTGTTGTCTCAAGACCAGTTGACCCAGGACCACCTACTTCAGGGGCTGTGGGGGGACAGTAAGACCACCTGTCGTGCTATCATCCTCGACGTCACAGAGAGTAATAATACCAACTTGGCCCTCAGGTAATTTTCACAAAGAAATTAAGATTCTGTTCCCGTAAAACTACTTAGATTCTCAGTCATATAATATACTATTTGCAAAAGTAAATAGGCAATCACACGTAAAAATTCCCATTCATTCAATGTTACACAGACCTACATTGCCATCCTCATAGCATTGTCGTGGTGTGATTGGTGTAAAAACGGAACCCTTGCGTTGAAGCCAAAGGGTAGAGTTGGGTTGGAAACCTCATAGCGTACGAAGTAGAAATCCATAAACACTTATGTGATTTTTTTTAGGGTAATCGTAAACAAGTATTATAGTAAACCTCCTCTGTAGGTTACTAGAGTCATCTGGATTGTGGAAGATGTCTGAGACGCGGGTGGTGATAATTGGCTGGACGGCAGGAGTGAAGGACGTCCTCCTCCACCATAGTCTCCGTAACACCGTCCACGGCCTCTACTTGGCCCTCCACGACCTCGCTATCCTAACTCCACCGAACCACCGCGACTCACGACTCAGGAAGGTTCTCCCACAGGAGGGTTAGTACGTCCTTTTTTTTTCTTAATATTTCCTTTATCATTTGTTAAAATTATAAAGAATGTTAAACCTGGTGTGACGCTGCACGAAGTGAATTCATTATGTCACGGTCTTGTTGTATGTGCGGCTGCATATTGGTGATCGGTTCCGTTGATGTGAATTATACATTTGTTATAGAATCTGGATATAAGTAGCCTTTTCAATCAACACAGCATCAAATATTGAGGGTGTGTCGGTGTACCGTCGCTGTCTGTACTGCAACAACGGGAAGGCGGACGTACAGCTCATATATCATTGGAACCACACTTCACCAGTTCAGCAAGCTAAAGATCTTTTTACTGGTGAGCAAGAAGCATATAAAGTAAATATTTACCTTATAGAATTATAATGCAAAACTATAAAGATTTGTGGATGTCTTCAGAGCAATAACAGTCTCTTTAATCCCATGAGTAAGGTAACCGCATTGCCTGGATACTGTGTCACTACGTTCAAAAGAATGAGTAATCATCTTTAAAAGAGTTAAGTTCTCATACTCAAGGAAATTGTAATTCTAATCAACGTGATAAGTAAACTTATTAATTGGAATAATTTATTTTCTGATTTAAATGGATCTCTCTTATTCTCTAATGCATGACTATAAGGAGAAAACCAATTTAGCAATTATAATTTTTGTCAGGAAAAGGATCTCTGGTTTTCTCCAAAGAGCAATGTGAGATCTTGGTGATTTATTCCTCTACAGAGCAGTTCCTGAACTTTATGGGTCACAAATTCAAGATAGTAACAGTGTCGTACTTCCCCTACATCGCCTACAAGAAAGACAGCGAGAGTAAGGGAACCACAGTAACTCTCACGGACTCACTCGATGCTCGCTTACTCGACACTTTCTCTCATAAACTCAACTTCACGTGAGTGCTGGAATATCTCTTTCCCCTGAAAATGTTATGCCAGACAAATCTTTGTTAATTAGTGTAAATTGAACTAATATTCATTGTGCTAAGTATGACAATTTTAAATACACAATATATGACGATGTGTTTTATGTCTACTATGAGAAAATAGAAATGTACAGTTCCTCTCACTTGTGAGTTTACAGGGGCTCATCAGGTTTTGTGCAGTGTGGCAGAGCTGTATTTGTTTATAGGAAACTAGCAATAGTAAACATACTATGAAACCAAAGTAAAAAAATAATATAACAAACATATAATTGTAAAGATTTGTGGAATGTTTATATGTTTGAAAATATATGCATTAAATAGACTGTTATTAGATCGTATCCCTTACCTAGTGGACGGTGGTATGGCGAGGTGAAGTGGCGTAAAGAGAATGTGGGATGCTGGGGGGCAGCAGGGAGGCAGGAGCCCTTCTACCTACAGTAATGGTATCCGCGAATGATAAACTATTAACACTCAATTGAAATTTAATTTTATTTCTATTATTTTCCTCATCTTCTATATTATGTAGATAACCTTCATACTGTTCATGTTAAACGTTGGCCATAGTGTGAACAAGAGAGTACTCTGCAGTGTAGAGGCTTGTAGCAACACAGTATGTAGTCCTGTAAAAAAATTATTTTAAACCTTGAAAACCTGTAGATTAAAAAAATAAATGGTGTCATTTTTCTGATGGGATATAAGGTCGTATTTGTCCAAAGAGGTAAGCGAGGAAAAAATCGCTGGACCCATGACCCACTGAGTGTCTAAGGTAATAAGAGATCAAATACTACCATTTGGGTTCAAAGTTAAATGTGGTCTTAGCGGCTTTACTCTGTAGTCAGCCACATTAAGAATGCTTTTCCTTGTTTCACCTGAGTTATCCCGTTTTGCTGAAGAAGTTGGAAGCTTTGCTAATCTGAAATATTACAAAAGAACAAAACACCCGGAGTTCTCTACAACTATTGTCAGCCTTCAATATGCTGATGTACAGAAGTTGCACAATGTTATTGCTGACTGAAATCCATTTTTTCAGGAAATATATTCTTTTAAACTTGGTAACAGGAGGTGTAATGCCAGAAAATGTCAAGCATATGTGCATATGAAGCTGGAAAATAAAGGGTTGGAAATTTTGTCAAACAACGCATTGTTGGTCCAGTAGGCATCTGGGAAATGATGACCGAGGTTAATGTTCTGTCATGGAAAGCTGCAAATAAGACTTCAACCATCAAATTAACTTCACAAGTTATAAACTTAAGCAGAACAGATCTTTGTTTGCTAGACTGATATTCATCGCAAGACCCGTGATGAAATTTATCTACAAGAGGCAATTGGCATGTATGAATCCACTTGTCTGCCAAGATCTCTCTTCTCCCCAGATTCTGTCCTTGTTTACCAAGACAAAAGCAAGCTCATGGGTCTCCTTGAAGCAGTTCCAAAACGTGAAGAATCTATTGATGTTCAAAGCATCGCAGATCCACAAAAGGAACCATGTCATGAGACTATCACCAACGATGGCATGGCATTAGTTGACGAACTGTTAACATTGTCTGTCAAAAAATGTGCAGAGTTTGCAAACTACTTCATCAAAACATTATCAGCTAAGGCAAAAAGTTATGATGCTTTGCACCTTGTATTTGATCGTTATGACGTAGGCCACTCGTTAAAACAAAGAACAAGAAACCGACGCTATGGCAAGGAAGCAAAGGCATACATCAATGAAACCACAGATTCAACACATATTAAACTTTCACCCAAGAAGTTATTCAGCAACGACAAGACAGAATCATCATTGACCACCTATCTAGGAAACAAAGCACTGCTTCTGTTCCAGTCAAGCAAAACCTCATTTGTGCTATCAACAAAGAACGGTGTTATGTCAAATGGTGAAAATGTTGAACGGTTGAAAAGTAACCCTGAGGAAGCAGCTGCTCTGCATCACAGAAGGGCAGCACAGTACATATCATGTCACCAGACATTGATGTGCTTGTTCTAAGCATATTAAAGCAGCCTTAACTTGGAGAAAATGCAAGTATGATAGCAGGAACTAGTGAGCGACGACACAGTGTTTCTTTCAAATCCATAAATGATGCTATTGGGCCAAGTTTTCATGCCTTCACAGGATCTGACTGCACGGAAAATTTGCTGGCAAAGGAAAGAAAATATGTTAGAGCACTTTGATGAAATCTAACATAAAGGTCCTAGATGCATTCAAGATGCTCATTAGACCAAATGTCCCTCCTGCAGACATGTATATTGGTCTACCAAGAGGAATTTGTATGTAAGTTCTACTGTCCACGAATGACTTTCACTGAACTGTCTAAACTTAGATGGCGTCTCTTCAACGGAGGCAGAGGCCGGAAAACCTCAACCGACTGCAGCAACTCTAAAGTATCATATATTGAGAGCAAGGTACCAAGCCCTTCTGTGGTCTTGTAATGCAGAGAGTGAATTGTTTTCACCATTGGAGCATGACTGGAAGATTGAAAATGACTGTTTCATACCAGTAATATTAGACGTGCCACCAGCTCCAGAAGCTATCATAGAGCTTGTTAAATGTGGATGTGGTGTCAGCAAATGTGGATCGTTGTGATGCTCATGCAGAAACAATAATATAGCATGCACGGAGATGTATAACTGTCAAGCAGACGATGAGAAATGCCAAAACAAGGTGAAGGAATCTATGTTTTACACAGAAGAGTCTGATGATGATGACTGAAACAATGTGGTAAATAATAGCTTGTGACTTGTATACATATGATGTATAATACTATAAACAAACAATAAATTCAAAATGGATGTTCTAAGCTTTTCAGATAATGGTATTATGTATATGTTTAATTTCCAGTATTTGTCTTAAGCAACCATTGTGATCATGTAACACTACATTTTGTTATGTTATTAGTCATGTTTTAAGTTACTTAGGACTTAATGGTAATACCTTAGTGGTTGATTACGCCGCTCTTTGATAAAATTTCTTTCATGGCATAAAATTTATAATAAACCGTTCAGAAGAAATGACAAAGTTGTTTTTATGAATCTACATGTTATAAAGATTAATATGATGTTTGGTTTGAATTTAATTGAACTGATTCTTTATTTACATGTGCTTGTTGCTTCGTAGAACAATCTACTATACTATACTAGCACAGTAAATAAAACATGTAATAATAATATGAGTGCTTTCAATCTGTCTCAGTATCCGAGGTGCGTGTCACGTCTGGTTGTGTAAGGATGGTAAACTGTAAATGAAAATATGACTTTTTCTAAGCACAACTAATATAAGTTATATAAATGTCCTTATCTGTAAAGTAATCAGGACAAAGCGAGGGGCGGGAATTTACTGATCTTTGATAACATACCGTAAAGAGTGTTTGACACTTGTATCATTTAAGAAAATTTATTTAGTTGTCATTTCAGACATTTTATTTTTTTAAACCAGTTAGAAGGTAACAATATGTGTTGAATATGTTTCTAAATAAATTATGTGTGGTGAAGGAGATTTCATATTTATGCCCACCACTTTTATTAAAATGGAAACAAGTTAGCAACACTTGAGGTGCCAATACAACATTTCATATTCATTCGTAACAGGAGACAGTAGGAGGTTTTCTTCCGATCTATCATTCTGATGTAATCATTGTACTGTGGTGACGAATGGCGTATATAACAAATTTTCACTGTAATAAACAATGAACTATATAAGATAATCAATGAATACTGTACGATAGTTTATGTTCCATAATAATAATAATAATGGTTGCCCCATTGTATTAATTTGTGTGAAATAATTTGTATTAGGTTTTATATCTAGAAGTGTAAGTAATAAGAGTGCACAGGTCTTATTGCAACAATATCTTGCGCTAGTCAGGCCGCACCTCCATTATGCGGTTCAGTTTTGGTGCCCTTATTATAGAATGGATATCAATTCACTGGAGTCGGTGCAGCGAAGAATGGCGAAAATGATTCCGGGACTTAGAAACCTCCCATATCAAGATAGGTTAAAGAAAATAAACTTGCATTCCCTAGAAAGACGAAGAGTGCCGGGAGATATGATAGAAGTATTTAAGTGGGTGAAAGGAATCAATAAAGGGAATATAAATAAAGTTCTTATAATATCCGAGCAGGATAGGACTCGTAGCAACGGATTTAAGTTGGATAAGTTTAGGTTTAGGAGGGAGATAGGAAGACACTGGTTCACAAATAGGGTGGTGGACGAGTGGAACAAGCTTAGCAACTTTGTAGTAAGTGCTGGAACTCTGGAAAGTTTTAAAAGGAGGCTGAATAGATTCATGGATGATAGAGAGTGGTAGTAACTCTCGACAGGAGCTGCCATGCACAGGCCAACCAGCCTATTGCAGACTCCTTATTTTCTAATGTTCTTATGATCTATTATTCTTATTACAATTTCACTTGCTGAAGGAGTATCTTATCTGTTGTTAAACAATACAGTAAATATTTTCTTTCGCAATGAGTTATCTTATCGTCTATCAGTTGCATCTATGGACTAGGGAGGCTAAGGCCTCTAGGGGTGTATGCCTGGTGTGTGGTGGGAAGGAGAGCGAGAAGGTGTTGTGAGAAACGTAAGAATGGAGGAAACTGCAGCGGGCCTATTGGCCCATACTGGGCAGTCCCGTTTACACTCAACCCCTATTGCTCATATAAGCATCCAACCTATGTTTGAAGCTATTCAGCGTATTCGAGTTAATGATGATGTTTGGTAACTTATTCCATTCATCCGCTAATCTATTTCCAAACTATTACTTTCCTATTTCGCGCTTAAATCAAAATTTGTCTAATTTAAAGCCATTGTTACGAGTTCGCTCCTGTTTGGATAGTTTGAGTATCTTTGTTTAGCCCTGACTTCCATTTATACACCTCGATCATGTCGCCCCTCACTCTACGTCTCTCGAGGGAGTGCAAGTTACGATGCTTTAACCTGTCTCTGTACTCAAGGTTCCTAATGCCCGGGATTAATCTTGTCATTCTCCTCTGAATTCTTTCCAAGGATTCTATATCCATTCTGTAATACGGTGACCAGAATTGAACTGCGTAATCTAAGTGAGGTCTCACAAGTGCAAGATATAGTTTAGGATGACCTCTCTAGTCTTGTAACTAACACTCCTTTGTATGAACCCAAGTACTTTATTAGCCTTGTTTCGCGCAAATACACATTTTTT